GAATACTTCACGGGTAGCTTGCTAGGAATAGAACTAGGGTTGGCGATGTTGGCTCCAGCACCGCTGTGCTATTAGGCTGGAGTGATAGCACAGTGGTAGGGAGTTTGCCTTGCACGCAGCCAGCCCAGATGGGCCGGGTTCAATTCTTCCGGCCCCTCTCAGAGAGCCCGGCAAGCTACCAAGAGTATCTTGCCCGCATGGCAAAGCCTGGCAAGCTACCTGTGACGTACTCGATATGCCAAACACAGTAACAACAAGTCTCAAAATAATGGAGACATTACTGGGCCCGCTCGAGCAAATCGATGAACAACAGGAGGACAGCTGTATTACAGCGTGTTTGAAATACTCTGATTTACAATATTGTTAATGAAAGCATTCATGCAAACATTGTTTCAAACAAAACTCGCCACCAGAATGTCCTCTTACAAACATTATTTTTCAGAGTTCCAGTTCATCTACCCTCTATCCCTTTTCCCCTCTCTTGGTAAGGCTCAGATCTATAAACCAGTTCCTAAATTCTTCTGCCTCTGGCTCTTTGTTTTTCAATCGCAATTTTCATTTTGATGTCACATATGAGAGAGTAATTTTATATTTTTACCTTTCCATTTGACTCACTTGACAACTCAACATAATAACCTCTAGTTATTATGACACGTGGCAGCAAATTTCAGTTTTTTCTTTCCTTATGGCCATGTAGTATTTAATTGTACTCATGCACCATGTGTTTATCCAGTTATCTGTTCTTGAACACTTATGTTGAGCAAGTTGTGTTTGATGCCTAGGAAAGAGACTGTAGATTTATAACAGAAGATGAACCACAAGAATTTCTGAGGTTCATGATGGGACATCAAGTACGCATTCCAACCTCTGAAGCACTATGTATCAGGTTTTAATCTCAGAACTTTCCTTTTTAAATGTTTTTTAAAGCACCATGATTTACAATACTGTTAATGATAAGAATTCATGCATATAATGCGCCAATACCACTTATTCACGAGTGCTTTTTTCTTCACCATTGTTTCAGTGTCCCTTTTTCCCACCCTTCTCCCTTCATTTGTTAAACTCAGTTCCATAAACAAGTAATAATAAAAAAAAAAATAAAAAATAATAATAAGGTTCTGTTGCCTTTAGTCCTTTAATTTTCTTTATTATAACATCCCACCTATGAGAGAGATCATTTTGTATCTCCTTCTAAATGAACTGTGAGCAGCATGATACTCTTGTTTCATCCACATAGCAGCAAATCACATGATTTCATCTTTTCTAATAGCCTAGTGAGAATTCTTCATAGTCTGTTATTGCAATCCAATCTACTTCTTGCTAACAGTTTAAGTACTTTGAAATAGGATCAATGACATTAGATTGTTTGTATAAAACAATAAAAAAAATTGTTCAGAATAAAAAACATTTTCATGGCTTTAGATTGAGTACAAATTCCCATTTTAAGATAGAGTAGCATGAGATGATAAGAATCAAGGAATTTATTACTGAATACAAATTAAAGGTGTAAAATGATAATGTGTATAACAAACTTATGTTTTATGATTTATTTGCTAGATCTTGTCAAAAGAATTAGATGTTAGCTCCCAATACAATCATGAACACATGTAAATAAAAGTAAGAAATCTATGGGAGAGCTGCCCCATAATGGCATATGAGTGCTCAGATGCCACAGAGAACTTAATGTATTATTCTGTTGAGGGATAGGAAGAAAAGATTTTCAATACACATATACAGTACAAGTCTATTTATACTAAATTTAAAAAAAAATTACCTTGCCTTTTCCTATAACCTAATAATCACTAATTCAAAATAATAAATCCTAGCTTATTCTTTCCACATTCAAATTTAACACTGTTCCTCAACTTGACTCAATTCCAATTTAATTTAAAAGTTCCCCAACATTGAGCCATAGAGATAGTACAGTGGAAAAGGCGCTTGCCTTCCGTACAGCAGAGCCCTGCTTCTATCTCCAGCAACTACTATCGTACCCCTGAGTAGGAGTGTACCCAGGGCACAGGTACAGGAGTAAGTCTTGAATGCAGTCAGGTATGGCCCACAATTAAAAATATTGCCTAACATTTTCCTACTGGTCACAAACTAGTAATAAACTTCTTATTATAAATACTGACCTTAATGAGTCACCTGAGTCCATAAGTCTTCCTGTATAACAAATCTAACAAACTGTTTCTCAAAGGGACAAGAAATAATCCCTACAGGGTTTTCCTATGTTCTATTTGAGCTATCTTTTCCCTCCTATCACATGAAGACACTCAATTCTCCTCCTGAAAACATGTCTGTAGTTATGTTTCTTGACCAAGGAATGATATATTCAAATATATCATTCAATGAACCTCCGTGTCAAGTATTCAGTGAACAGAAATATATAACACTGTAATGTTTACTGCTTTATAAAGTTTTGCTTGATTTTAGCATTGCTTGAAAATTAGCATTGATCATTTTGGCTCTGAGGTGAGTACAATACGGATTCTTAAAAAATAATTTACATTTTAATTTTTGTAATAAGAAAAATTTTTAAAAACTGTATCTTTTGTAGAAATGTTGATTTGAACCTGAGGTGCACTGTAGGATGACCATTCTGGGCACCCAAACAAAGCTATCCAGGAATCCTCAGGAAAGCAAGAATGGTCAGTAAAGGTCAACACAAGTCTTGAGTTTATGTAACTAAAGCTCACCAAATTGGAATAAAATAAAATAGATGAAGGATTATTAAAAACTTGTAGTTGGGTTCTTCTTTTCTTTAGTTGTTAATTAAAAAAAATTTTAGATAAACTTGCAAAGAGTAGAATGTACTACAGGGATTGTCACTGAATTGAAGTTTATGGAAGGAAATAAAATTTAAACATTATTAAAATAGATGTAATTTTTAATTTTTATATTTTAAATAAATAGTTTATTATTATTTTCATAAAATTCTGATGAACATAATTTATTTTCTAATTTTCAGTGAGCTCTAAATATGCCCTGAAATAATAATATTTCACTGCATCTTCCTTATTATTTATCATTAATTCTGTTTACTGATGGCTACTTCAGGATCTTTGTTTTTAATACATCTCATGAAAAAACACAGAAATAATAGTAAGTTCTTTAGTGAAAAATGCATCCATAAACTGCATTTTGGAAACAAATAAACAACTCTTGGAAACACTGAGCATTTTATTATTTTCATGATTATAAAAGATGGAATTACACCAGAAACATAGACTATAATTGTTTAAAATTTTAACTTCAGAAAAATATTTGGGACAAAATGAAGTTATTTTTCACATTTTTTAAAGCTATCCACCTATTGTGTTCACCAGTTACAAAATTACTAGTTGTGAATGTAGATAGTTGTGAATAGTTTCCAAAGTTAGTGAAAAATTGAAGTATAGATATTCATGCATTATTATTATATCTTCAAAATTCTATTTGTAAGGAATTATTATGGGATCAAATGTTTTAAATATGGGCTGGATCAATAGTACCGTAAGTAGGGTGATTGCCTTGCACACTGAGTCAAATTCTATCCCTGACACCCTATGTGGTTCTCTTGCCTGCCTGGAGTGATTCATGAGCACAGAGTTAGGAGTAAGTCATGAGTACGGGCAGTGTGCCCCCCAAAACAAAACAGATTCTTTAATTAAAAAATAAAAACAGTAGTGCAAAAAATTGTATCTGCTATGTTATAAAAGGACTGGAGTGATAGCACAGCAGGTAGGGCTTTTGCCTTGCATGTGGCCTACCTGGATTCAATTCTTCTGACCCTCTCAGAGAGCCCGGAAAGCTACGAAGAGTATCCCGCCCCCACGGCAGAGTATGGCAAGCTACCTGTGGCATATTCAATATGCCAAAAACAGTAACAACAAGTCTCACAATGGAGATGTTACTGGTGCCCGCTAGAGCAAATTGATGAACAATGGGACGACGTGCTGCTACAGTGCTATGTTGTAAAATCAATAGCAAAAGATATTTAAAGTGAAAAATTCTAGGCAAGAAACTATTGTTTAACCATGACCTAACACAAACAATCCCAATGTACACATCTTCAAAGGGTAATGTCAACACAAAGGAGATTTATCAGATTAACCCTTAAAGGTAAGAGATATCTTTGAATATAAGAATTTAATAGAATTAATAATAATTATTCAGGAGAATGACAGATGGTAGTAGGAGGTGGAGAGCCATCCAATTTGAAGTAAAGCAGTGAATTTTATAGATAGCATTTTTCATTTAAGGATAGTTGAATGAATGCAAGTATTGACTGGGAATACTCTAAGAGTTAAGTTTACTGAAGTATCTGGGAATGTACCGTCTGCTGTGTTTAAAAAAGCAGGAAAAAAGACAAGGGCCTCTGGTAAGGTAAGAACACTAACAATAAAGTGAGGGAATGAAGAAATAAAATTAGGTGCTAACATGCAAACAGATTCAATAGAAATTTTTTAGATATGAGAAAGAAAATATCAGATTGATATACCCACAATGTGTACATTAGAGATTAAATGGATGGTAGTGTCATTAAACAGTTTTAAAATATAGGAAAGTAGTCAAAGACAGGAATGTGCTTGGCATGAAAGAAGTCAAGTTTGATGTGTTTGTAGGTTGAGGTATTTGATACGAAATGGTGATACCCAATCAGTAATCAATATCTTATCAATGTCCCATCAATATCAATATCAAATCAAGGTACCTAATGGATAACTGAATATTAGTAAAAACTATGCCTGGAATCAAGGCTGGAGAATTATTGAAAAATATTATATAAATACAATAGCAAGAGAATAAAACTGAAATCCAAAGTATTGAGATTGAATATCTTGTAAAAAGAAGGAAATAAATAAAATAGAAAGCATATAGAGCACAGTTTACGAGTTAGATTGAAGAAAATATCACTGTAAACGAATCTAGAGAAGAACCAAATAAACTGGGAATGTGTGGAGTTAAATGTAAAACAAATTTATATTTAACTTTCCCTCAACAGGAGCAAATCACAGGACATGGATATTGGGAATCACACCAGTGTGTCAAAGCTCATCATTTTGGGGTTAACGAAGGATCCTACATTGTGTATCATTTTCTTTGTGATATTTCTAGGGATTTATGCTATTACCTTAACTGGCAATACCAGCATAATTATTTTAATAAGAAGCTGTTCCCAGCTGCAAACTCCCATGTACTTCTTCCTCAGTCATTTGGCCTTTGTGGACATTGGGTTTTCCACCTCAATCACACCTATAATGGTTGTAGGATTCCTGACACATGGAATAGCCCTCCCTGTGGCTGGCTGTGAAGCACAGCTTTGTTTTGGGGTCCTGTTTGCAACAACTGAATGCTTCCTGCTAGCTGCCATGGCCTATGATCGCTATGTGGCCATCTGCTCTCCCCTGCTCTATTCCACCCACATGTCCCCTGGAGTCTGCATGGTCTTACTGGGAGTGTCCTACCTGGGTGGTGTTGTGAATTCTTGGTCATTCGCCAGTTGTTTATTGAGTCTTTCTTTTTGTGGACCAAATGAGATTGATCATTTTTTCTGTGATCTCTCCCCTTTATTGAAACTTTCCTGCTCAGATATCTCCACTGTAGAAAGGATTCCTTCCATTTCTTCTGGGCTGGTTATTGTGGTTACGGTGTTTGTCATCTCTCTCTCTTATATTTACATCCTCATCACAGTCCTGAAGATGCGTTCCACAGAAGGGCGACACAAGGCCTTCTCCACCTGCACCTCCCACCTCACTGCTGTGACTCTTTACTATGGAACTATTTTCTTCATTTATGTCTTGCCCAAATCCAGCTACTCTACAGAGCAGAATAGAGTGATATCTCTGTTCTATACTGTGGTGATTCCCATGTTAAACCCACTCATCTACAGTCTGAGGAACAGAGATGTGAAGGAGGCCCTGAGAAAGACAACTTTTGGAGTGTTTTCCTAACATCCATTCTTAACATTTTATTTTTTCATAGAAAGGTTTTGTTACCAATCTCATAGCTGTAAACTACAAATACTGCTTTACTGATTGAGCAAATTAAAAATCACATTTCTACTTCTGTCTTTATATTGTTTATCATGATATGATAGTATTAATTTGAATGTTTTAGTCTCACAATATTACCACACCACACCAATTACCAGAGTGCCAATATTACTTTACTACTATCCCTCAGTTACACTCACCCATCTCCCACCACTGTTTTAGCCACCACTATTTGGAAGTCTCAGGATTTTTTTTAAAGAATGGTAAGAAATGCTAATGGTCATTGTATATTCTCTTGCTTCATTTTTTTTCATAGTCCACTTCTGAGTGAGATAATTTGGCATTTGTTCTTCTCATTGGGACTCCCTTGGCTTAATATAACAACTGCCAGATGCATCCAAGTTGTAATAAAATGTAAGATCTCATTTTTCCTTATAGATGAGCAATATCCCATTGGGTATTTCATGTTTACCACAATTTCTTTATCCAGTAATAAGATGTTAGGACTTGAACATTTTCTAGATCTTGGCTACTATAATACTGCACAACTAAAAAAAATTGTCTGTCTTTTTAAATTAATGTTTTCTTGTTATTTGGGTAGATGCTATTATAATCACTGAGTCATATGGTAATTTCTATTCTTATGTTTTTTTAGAGGTTCTCATGCCATTTTTGAATAAAGACTGAAGCAAGTATCAGTCCACGTATAGAGAATTAAGGTGATTTTTTTCTACATAATTTTATATACTTATTAACCAATCAGAACATATTAATTTTTATTATTTAACCCCTATAAATGCCAAACACTATTTAATTTATTACTAAAATATTTGTATTTTTTGTTAACATTGCTAAAATATTTGTATTTCTATGTGCCAGGTTCTAAATTAAGATTATTACATTAGTGACTGGTCTATTTCCTCACCTAGACACAATCAAGATTTTTATAATAAAAATTTTTGCAAACAACCATAATGCCCCAAAAAGAAAGAGAGAGAGTAAGAGAGAGGAAGGGAGGGAGAGAAGAAAATGCATGCCAGAGAGGAAGGTATGGGGGAGGGTAACAGAGGGCACTGGTGGTGGGAAATGTACACTGGTGAATGGAAGAGTGTTGGAACATTGTATGACTGAAATCCAATCATGAAAAGCTTTGTAACAATACCATGGTGATTCAGTTAAAATTAATTAATTAAAATATTTAAAAAATTAAAATAGTTCTTTGCAAATAAGTCATTTGTGCTCAGAGGGGAGAAAAATCACACAGTAAAATCAGAGATTGATTAGTAAGAAAAGAGATTGAATCCAGAAAGTAGATCCAAAATTGTTAGCTTCTTCGTTTAATTTTCACAGAAATCTCATGATGCTTTTAATATAAATCAGCTCCATTTACAGATGAGAATTCCAAGTCTTGGACTTATCTAAGAATTTTCCTGGACATTGGTGGGCTCAAGTCCTTTAATCCTGGAGGATGCTAGTCCTTTTTTCTGAATGAATAAAACCACAATCTGCCAAATAAGTTCTGTCCTGTTACTAACATAGAGTACATAAGCAGAGAAATCAAGTCTTTCTATCAGCTTTTTGAACAAACTCTAAAGTAGAACGCCTATATTGTAAAAATTCAATACCTGGATAAAGTTAGAAACATTGTTTATTTTATCCTTTTTAAAATGTCTGGATATTATAATTGAAAGATTTCATTGAATTTTTTAAAAAAGTCTGTTTTTTTAAACATATGTTAAAAACAATCATATTGGCATACTGTAATCACTTTTATTGACAGGAATAAAAATAGCAGCATTTACTTAGAAGAATTGTTACAATACAATTTAGTAACAAAGGAGTTATGTATAAAAGTTTTTACTTCTATGAAATAGGGTGAGAGAAGTTAAGAATTTTAGATATATGAAATATAGAAAAAACATCATGCATTACTCTTCTCATATCTGATAAAAATGTCAGCCAAAACAACTAATTAGAGGTAAAATATGTATTTATATATAGATAAATACATATATTTTTACTAAAGGGATAAATTAGAAATATGTAATAGCTATCAACATACATGAATTTAACCCAGGGGCATCCTAATATATATAGCTTGTTCTTTGAAAGTATCAATAATCTAAAACACAATCACTAGGCTACCAATTATAAAAAAATAAAGAATCATAAATGTGAATTTTGCTTTTTATTTGTATATTTATTCTGTTATTGTAGTTTAGTGTCAGCTTCCATGGTTTTGATGAACAAGCTACTGCAACTTCACCACAAAGTATCAAGATGTATCATCATGTCTGTGTCACCTCTATTTTTTGGCCTCCTTTCCTTTTCTTACTACTTATTAGTCTCAGACATGCATTCAGAGGATTTTTCCTCATTATATGTGCATTTCTCCTTCTCTTATTTTGTTTCTCTATCACAGATGAGTTAAATCATCAGTATCTTTCTTTCCCCTCTGACTTAATATTATGCCCTCCAGTTCCATTCAAGTTGCAACACTTGTGAGATTGTTGCAACACTTGTGAGATTTCATCTTTTCTTACAGCTCTGTGGGATTCCATTAAGTATAAATAACAATTTCTTTATGCAGTCATATTTTGTGTAACATTTAGGTTGATATCCTGGCCATAATACTTAACTTCTCAATAAGTAGAGCTATGAATATATCTTTTAAAATGAATGTTTTTGCATTATTTTTATTTATTTTTACTTATAATTGAATCACCATGAGATACACAGTTACAAAGTTATTCATGATTTGGTTTCATTCAATGCTCTAACACCCATTCCTTAATGAGTGTACATTTCCAACCACCAATGTTACTAGTTCTCTCCCCACCCCCCAGCCTGCCATTCTTCTCTCTCTTTCTCTGTCTCTTCTCTCTCTCTCTCTCTCTCTCTCTCTCTCTCTCTCTCTCTCTCTCCTTTTGGCCATTATGGTTCGAAATACAGTTATCATAAAAAGGTTATCATATTTATTTATTTATTTACTTTCAGCACACAGCAAGCTTCCAATCATGGACAAATCTTCCTGGCCCCATTTTCCTCTTTTCTTGAGTATTAGTCTCATACTATCTTTTCTTATATTCTACAAATTAATGCAAGCATTCTGTGTTGTCCCTTTTCTTCTGACTCCTTTCAATCAGTAGGATAGTCTGATCCTATCCATTTATTAGCGAATTTCATGGCTTCATTTATCCTAGTGGCTGAGTAGTATTCCATTGTGTAGATGTACCATAGTTTCTTTAGCCAGTCATCTGTCCTTGAGCACTGTGGTTGTTACCAGATTCTGGCTAATGTGAATAGTACTGCAATGAACATAAAAGTGAAGATTGTTTTTCTGCAGTATGTTTTTGGGCCCCCGAGATATGACCCAGAAGTGGTATTACTGAATCATATGGAAGCTCAATTTCTAGATTTTTGAGGACTGCCCATATATTTCCCAAAAAGGTTGGACCAGTCTGTATTGCCACCAACAATGTAGGAGAGTCCCTTTCTCTCTGTATCCATGCCAGCACCAATTGCTCCTGTTCTCTTTGATTTGTGTTAGTCTCTGTGATGTGAGATGATATCTCATTGTTTTTTTGATTTGCATCTCCCTGATGATTAGCAATATATTTTTCTTGTGCCTTTTGGCCATTTGCATTTCTTCTTTGAGGAAGTTTCTGTTCATTCCTTCACCCCATCTATTGATGGTGTTGAATGCTTGTTTTTTCTTGAACAGTTCTATCAGTGTCTTATATATCTTTTATATTAACCCTTTATTGAATGGGTATAGGGTAAATAATTTTTACCATTACATGAGCTTTCTTTATATCTTGATCACTGTTTCTTTTTTCTTTTTTCCATTTTACAATTTTATAAAGTTATCAGTTAAGTTACAGACATTCAGTATTCCAACACCAATCCCACAGTCACTGTTTCTTTTGAAGTGCATAAGGTTCTTAATTTAATGTAGTCTGTTTAACTTTGCTTCAACTTGCTTGGTGTTTCATCTTTGAAGGTGCCTTTTGCTTCAGTGGCGGTTTCTGCCTACATTTTCCTCCATGTGCCTTATGAATTCAGGTTTGATATTGAAGTCCGTAATCCATTTTGACCTGCCTGGCATTATAAAGGGGTCTGAGATCTTTTTCTGTATGTAGCTGACTAGATTTCCCAACACCACTTGTTAAAGAGTCTTTCCTTGCTCCACTTCCTATACCAAAGATTAAGTGATCATATATTTGAGATTTGGTGTCAGGATATTCAACTATATTCCATTGATCTGTAGGTCTGTCTTTATTCTAATACCATGCTGTTTTAATTACGTCAGCTTTAGAGTAGAATTTTAAGTTGAGGAAGGTTATGCCTTCCATCTTCCTTCCCCCAAGGATTGCATTTTGGCTATTCATGGGGGTTTATTCGTCTACATGAATTTCAGGAGTGCTTTATCTATTTCTCTTAAAATGCTACATGCATCCTTATAGAGACTGCATTGAATCTGTATAATGCTTTGGGGAGTATTGCCATTTTAACAATGTTAATCCTCCCTATCCATGAGGAGGGGGTATGTCTCCAATTCCTTGTGTCCTCTTTTATCTCTTGAAGAAGTATTTTGTAGTTTTCTTTGTAGATATCCTTCACCTCTTTAATTAAACTGATTTATAGGTATTTGTGTGTATGTGTGTGTATGTGTGTATGTAGTGTGTTTGTGGGAGGGGAAATTCCAGGTCTTTAATTTCTATTTTCGCTCTAAGTTTTATTATTTCCTGCCTCCTGCCTGGCCTGTACTTCTTTTGTTGGTCATTTTTCAGGATCTTAAGCTGTGAAGTTATTTATGTAGGCCCTTCTTCTTTCTAATAATTGCTTGCAGAGCTATAAACTTTCCTATTAATACTCCCTTTGCTATGTCCCACAAGCTCTAGTATCTGGTGTCCTCATTATCATTTGTTTCCAGGAATCTTTGGATTTCCTCTTTG